TGGTGACTGAGAGAAGGTTCAGTAAAGGAAACGACTATTGGCATTTCATCAAGAGGGCAAGGAAAAGTTGGTGGTCCAGTAGGACCAAAACTACTGTTATCTTTTCTTGGCAAAGTTTTTGTATTGAAAAAGTTGTTGGTCTGGTAAGACCAAAACTTACTGTTATCTATCTCCCCACTTTCACATCACGCCCAAGCACAAAACTGCAACAAGTAAAACATCTCACTTTCCTTACCAAATTCAAGAAAAAAAAAACACAGAGAGAGAGCGCTCCATTAAACATCAGGATGAAATAAACAAAAATAAGAGAGATAAAGAGAACCAGGACTTCAGTAGAGAGAAATAGGAAGAAGGATTGTCTGGCATGACTGATTTTTCTCACATTTCTACGTGGGTTTCAATAATACAAAGGAAGAAATTGAGAGCGATGGTGGTGGCCCTAGTCTTTGAGAGACCTTTTCCTTTTGTGCATGTCTCTCTCTCTACCCCGTGCTTTTTGCCGCAGCAGCCATCTGCATCTCTCTCTCTACCCCGCGAAGACCCAAATCTCTCTCTTTCTCGACCCTGTGAAGCCCCCCAATCTCTCTCTCTACCCATGAAAAAAAAAGAAAAAGAAAAGAAAGAAGACTATTTTCCCTAAAATGTTTGGGTGATACAAAAATTCTTGAGAAAGGTATTTTAAGTCATTTTGATATTCACACCCTATCCTAAATTTGATGATGTGTTTTAAACGCGTTAACCATAGAATAACCCTATATATATATATATATATAGATAGAGATATGGAAATTTTTTATAAGTTTGAGGCTACAAATAATCAAATTAGGGTGCACCTCAAAATTTTCATTAGAAGAAGTAGTTTTTAGATAACTTTATTATCATTAGATTAGCAATGTTAAAAAAGAAAAAACTGATTTTGAAAGTATAAAGGCCTAGATCTTAAAATTCATCAAATGGATGGTCTAGATTCATTGTTGGAGGGGACTCATTTTGAGCATATATAGGGGGTGATTGTTTTTTTTTTAGATTGAGTATTAAGATGAAGAGAGTGTGTTTACAAAATTTTGGGTCATACAAATACCACAAATATGTTTTATTTGCGTGTGTGTGTGTGTTGAAAAATCATCTATGAAAGTGATAAAGTATTTCTTCCCACTACGAGATTGTACACTTCTCGAATCATAGACATTACTATGTATCAATTCTAGTATCCCAGAACTTCTTTTCGCTTTAGGAAAGGGTTTGTGATCTTTGATTGCATCACACATAGTATTTTGTAAATTCGCGCACTTAGGAATAAGGTCTAAAGTAATCATTTTTTTTTGAAAAAAAAGCATGATAATTAATATGACCTAATCTAGCACGCTATAAAGAAAAGGAATCGAGCATATACACAGAAGTAGATGCACCTGTTTCATTATGTACATTGAGCTTGAACAAGCCTTCCGAGGCGTACCCTATTCCTATAAAGACTTCATTATTTAACAAGATAAACTTGTCAGACTCAAAGACAAGTTTGAAACCCCTCTTATTCGAAAAGTATACAAACACCAAATTTTTCTGGATTGCGGGGACATGATATACATTCGGAAGGGTGAAAACTTTACCAGACATGAATTTTAATTCAACAATCCCTTTACCAATAATCTTTGAGGAGTACAAATTGCCCATATACAGGATAGTGTCGTCCCCACCATTTCGTAAGTCCTAAACGTGTTGTTGTCATTACAAACATGTCTAGTAGCCTCTGTGTCCATCCTCCATTTTGTAGTGCCCCTATTGGATTGATTTCGAAGATCATGGCATAATTTTAGCAAAATGAGAGAACCTTTTCAATAACTCTTCATAAACAAAAAGAAAAAACTCTCTTCTAAAGTATCAATGGGTTAATATGCCATGATGCAAAAGGTATTGGGTTTATGTGGCCTTTAAAGGCCTTATGAGAGCTTGTATGAGTGGGAGTGTGGTCCTTTTGTGGACCATACGTAGAAAATGTTATTTGCTGATACTCGGACTAGGCTCGACGACCTAGGCCAGCCGAGGTTTGAAAAAACCCAAGATACTTGGACTTAGGGATCTACCGAGAAGGATTTAGTGGGTTATCCTTTGATGAGGTCTGAGTATGCCTAAATGAGAGCCAAGGGACTGTGTGGCCCTTGCATATGATGAATAGCCTTTAGAGATAGGGCTAAAACCTTATCGTTATATCATCACACGACATGTAGATAGATAGCCGTTTTGAGATTCACCAATGAGGGTAAAGCATGTACATGTGTGAGAGATTACCGCTATGCACCATAGAGTCATGGTTGTATCATCGTCTGGAGGACCATGATTTTTTGTCTCTAGGGGAGAACCTGAAATCTATAAACTGGAATTCCGTCCCTAAGTCTATTGGTTGGCTTTGGTAGTCCAATCATGAACCCCTGTAGTGGACTGTGGGTCATGGAAACTGTTGGGTCAGTTTGAGAAAGCTAAGCGGATTGCGATTCGCAGTTGAAGGTGAAGTGCTGCTATGTATTGATAATTTCTTAGATCTAACGGATCTGATTCCCATCAAAATTAATTAATTTTATGATATGTGATTGTTAGAATGTTTATTCGAATTTTTGTGAATCTTCTGAAATTTTATTTTTATCATTTGAATTTATAAATTATGAGAAATTAATTTTTCAATATTTTAAATAAGTATAAGATTTAAATATTCTAAATATGAAATAAAATATTTTCTGAAAGTATTTGAGACCTCCATAAAATATGGGGCCCAAAATTTTAAAAGATGTGGATTAGATGTGGCCCACACGTGGCCACCAAAAGGGTGGCACGCCCCAACTCATTCACACAATATTCTTGAGAATAATGTTTATCCTCTTGGTTGGCTTATTTTTTAAGTACAACCAATAAGATTGAATATTTTAGATATTTACTAATTCTTTGAATCAAGATTGATTGATCAAATAAATAAAGATTTGATATATTAAAATATACGCTTTCTTTATTTGATGGGAATATATTTAGGCAATGGAGGATAAGGCTCTAGCTCATCTCTTCGAATCTTGATGGTAGATCAAAGAGATTGATGGCTCAAATCTCTCACCCCACAAGTCTTCTTAGATCGTCGATTGAGATTTGACCCTACGAATTGAGGCAAAATCGATGGCATAGAAAATTTATAAAATGAGGTGTTCCCTCATAAAATGACATAGGTATTCTCTTCTCTCTGTTTAACCATTCTATCTCCCTATCCAAAACTCTCCTCTCTTCCAAAGGGGAGGCATGCCCCACTTTTATCTTTCTCTAAGTTGCACTATGTTTTGGTGGCACGCACCACCTCTATTCTTTGTGGGTGGCAAAGCGGTGGAACCCCTTGCTAGTAGATCTCTCCCTCTCTCTTCATATTCATCTCTCATCTCTCTAAAATCAAGCTAAAAATTTTGATGAAGATTAAGTCATTGAGTAGATTTTTACCATAATACGAAATCAACATACCGATTATAGATCCCGAGCACCACCAAAAGGAGGAAACTCGACGTGGGATGTACTAAGTCCGGTTGAAGTAATCTTCGACAATTTTACCTTTTAAAATATTTACTTCTCTTCCCATAAAAACATTAAAGTCTACTTTTTGTTTCTTGAATAAAGAATTGTATTTGAAGATGCAGTAATTGATAATTGATTTTATTTTTATTTTATTTATTTCAAGTATGATTTGATTATAATTGGACCTTGTAAGTGACCTTGCCTGTGTAAGAATAATTTTTTTTTTTTAAAATATATACACCGTGATTTATCATAAAATCCTTCCAAAAGATAGCACATCATTTAATATGTGTTAAAAGAAGATTAACTAAAATATATAGTAGTACCACGTGACAATTAATGCAGCATCTTGGGGAGGCACGTCACGCTTACCATGCAGAACATGCTTGCAAGAAGAAAATGGCATAAATGTAAAGAGGACGGTGAGGTTTTTATAACATGGTGGTTTTTCACCACCACAAAAGAACAGGTCTTGAAGAAAAAGAAAAGTTTCACATTCAAAAATGGTAAATCGGTAATGTTTTGGAAGAGAGAGAACCATTAATTTTACCAAAATGAGAGATCCTTTTCAATAACTCTTCATAAACCAAAAGAAAAAACTCTCTTACAAGGCATCCATGGGTTAATATGCCATGATGCAATAGGCAACACATCATTTAATATGTGTCCAAAGAATATTAACTAAAATATATGGTATTGCCACAACACAAGATGACAGTTAATGCAGCATCTTGTGGAGGCACATCATGCTTACCATGGACAACATGCTTGCAAGAAAAAAATGGCATAAATGTAAAGAGGAAGGTGAGGTTTTTATAACATCATGGTTTTTCACCACCACAAAAGATCCCAATGGTAGCCCAAGAAAGTAATTGTTTTGAAACAACTGTCGAATAAAAATAAAACACAAAGGTCATATTTTCTTTTTTCTCTCTCTAAAATAAGGTTGTATTTATCAGTATCGGTAATTTCCAACTGCATCAATTTCTAAAGGTCGAATATTTCAAGCTCAAAATAAATTATCTTTTTAACTGATGAAATGCGATATTCAAGCCAGGTCATGAAAACTCACATATTTAGTCTTTTGTCTTGGGACCAGATGATATTCCCAAATTCAGGTTGGTTTCTAAACATGGGCTTAGAACCTTGGCTCAGGTGGTCCTGTTCTATATGAAAAATTCCAGTGGTCTCCTCATTTATAGTAAATGAGCCATAACTGCAGTGCCCATCACTATATAGCTCAACTGGGAGCCATTACTTTTTCTAAATTAGAGGTTTTATGGTTTCTAATCCAAAATTCCACCAGTAGAATCCATCCTAGAGGTCTTGCGGTTTCTAAAACCGGAAATCCCCGTATTCATTTGAGTACCTTGGTTGAGTCGATTTTACTGGATACCGTATATTGCTCACCTTTAAATCCTTATAGTTTAACCTCATAGAGGAAGGATATTCTAACAACAATGGCGGCTCGTGATGGTGACAAAACAGTAGTTGATGAGCTTCCCGGCATCGTGACCATCTATTATGATGGCTCAATTGTCCGCCACAACTCGCACACCACCACTCCCCCTACCGAATTCCCGACCGATGCCACTGTCGCCAGCAAAGATGTCGTCCTGAACCCTGTCACAGGCCTTTGGGCCCGCCTCTTCCTCCCGCACCACCAGCAAAATGTGCCCCTTGCCGTCTATTTCCATGGGGGCGGCTTTTGCTTTGGGGACCCTGCCTGGGATTTCTACACTCGATTCATTTCTCGCCTTGCCACTGCAACAAGCACTCTCTGGGCGTCGGTCGCATACCGCCTGGCACCCGAGCACCGCCTCCCTGTCGGCTTCCATGACTGCCTCGACGCCATTTCCTCCCTCACCACCTCAACCGACCTATGGCTGAAGGGTACGGACTGCAGGCATGTGTTCCTTGCTGGGGATAGCGCAGGCGGTGATTTAGTGTACAACTGTGCGCTGCACCACTGCAAGGAACCACATAACCGTGTCGAGATAGTGGGACTCATGCTATTCCACCCCGGGTTTATTAAGGAGGAAAGAAGCGCGTCTGAGACCGATAGCCCCAAGGAGCTGGTGCAAGTGGATGCTACGGCGAGGATGGCATTGCCTCCAGGGGAGGATAAGAACTACTTCATGCTGAACCCGAGAGTGCCACCCGTCGCAGAGACAAGGCTGCCGCCATGCCTTGTGGTGGTGGGGGGAAAGGATCTGTTTAGGGATAGGCAGGTTGAATTTTGTGAGAAAATGGAGGGGATGGGGCAGATGGTGGAGGTGGTGTGGTATGAGGAGATGAGGCATTGTTTTATGTTTGAGGAGGACACAGAGAATAGTCCTGAAGCTGATGATATGGTGGAGAAGACGGTAAGTTTTATGGAGAGGTGTGGTGGCTTCAAAAAGGAGGGCTAAATTGGAGGGAGGTTTTATGGGGTTCTAAATCCTCTCTTGCAACAATAATGCAGATGGGTGAAATTGGGAGGAGATTTTTATGAGAAAATAATGCTTTTATTATGTTGGGTTTTACATGGCTTATGGTTCTACGAGAAAATAATGCTTATATTATGTTGCATGCTTTTGTGTAGATGTGGAAAAGGTAATGTATCCATGAGTGAAATAATTGTGTCTCTTTGAGTTATTTCATGCAGAAAATTAAGAGGGTTACATAAACATCTTCCGTTGTTTTGTGCATGCTTTAGAGTGAAATGCTTTTTCTTCATTCATTCTCTTGGTTTGATTGAAAAGCATATCATGATAAGCGCAAAATTAGCTGATACCAAATGGGTTATGTTATGGTGTTCAAACTATGGAGTAATTTATCATTGTATTAAATAAAATTTGAACATTTATATACTTTTGTTTTGTATATGGAGTATTTTTTTAATAAGGATATTTTTTATTATTAGAATAGATGTGACGTCATCCACATGGGTGTAACATCATTTACATAGTGCACACTAGTAGTATTTAATGCTCCATGTGGGTGGTATCACACCTCAAATGGATAACATCACATCCATCCTAATGACAAAAAATATCTTTATTAAAAAGATGTTTCATATACAAAACAATAGTTTATAAGTGTCCAAATTTTGTTGAGTACAATGATAAATTACTCCATAGTATGAATACTCTAACATAACCCACATCAATATAGAGACAAATCAAAAAGTCAGTAATATGTTGGCTTCCCACTAAAAAATTAGAGGCAAAATATCAAGAAACATGGAAAGAAATCTTTTCTTTTTAATGAAGTAGTTTTTTGAAAAAAACAATTTGGACATTTATATCATTCATCTGAAAAATAGGTGATACTCTTGAAGATCATTTGACAAAGTCAGTTTTTAAGAGATTTAAAAAAAAAAAATTTTAAAAAAAAAATTCTTAGCTTAATGGGAGACCATGGTGCAGATAGTGCAATAATTAAAGGAAAAATAAATGAAAAAATGAACCGTGGGAAATATATATTTCCCTATTGAAAAAGTGTTGTGGGTTTAGGGATTTGTACACGTTTGCATTTCGTTTTAAAAGTTATTTAAGATTTTTTATGACACTTGGTATGAATCTAATTACCCAAAAAAAGCTTGGTATGAATCTACTATTCAAAAGAACTTTGGAGAAAACTCACTATACTTCCTCATCCATATATACATATTTTCTACACTCCTCTTCTCCCATCCGTTCAATTTGAATGGATGGATGCCCAATACTAACAAGCCTATACACTATTTTATTTTTTATTTTTTTCTACTAAACATTTTGACACTAAATCTGGGGCATCCACTCCTCTCTTAAACTTTTACTTGGACATTTCATTTTTTCAAAAATAGTTTTTAATATTTTTAAAGTATGCTCTATCGAGATGATAACACATATCAAAATTTGATTTGTAAAAAATTAAAAACAAAATATTGTGAGACATCAACTTTAGATCAAACATTCAATGACTTACTTGTGATATTATGGCCGAAGCATCCTAGGGTCAGTGACTTACTTGTGTTATGATGGTTGAAGCATCCTACTTGTGATATTATGGTTGATATTATGGTTGAAGCATCCTAGCCGTCCATTCGGAGCAAACCACTACTTTCCTATATTTTATTTCATGGGTAAGGGCCGTCATGAAAGCGCCCAAGATTCACGTCATTGCACAAAATAATGGGAAAGGGGGTTCAAATTCTGGGAAAGGGGGTTCAAATTCTCATTCTTAGAGAGATTTTCAAAAGAGATTGGCCACGGTTTCTACGTGTCCATGTAGAAATGAGTCACCTCTAAAAATCTATTTTTAAGAGGGTTTTTTGGACTTAATTTTTAAGGATATGTGATCTCTAACATGAAAATAATAAATACGAATAAATAAATAAATTTTAAAATTATAATTCTATTAAAAAAACATTCGAACTGTTAGTTTCAATTATTTTTAAATAGACCAACTATTTGCATCCATTTTTAAGATGAATGCGGTCCCCACCTTATGAAACAATTTTTTAAAGAGATTTCACATGACCTAAAATCACCCATAATGATCTTGATTTCAAATGGCACATTTTAATGTCAAAACAAAGAAAATTGGGAGTTTGACTCAGCTAGATTTCCTAATAAGAAAATTGGATTTCAAATAAGCACCAACTCGAAACTCAAATTTCACTTCAATTAAGCACCAACTCAATAACTCATTTGTTTGTATCATGGTTTTAAAAAAGTTCGGTGACCTGGATTGCCCCTTCGGGTCAGAGGATCGGCGGTTTGGATCGGCGATCCACCCTAGTGAACTAGTGAATAAATTTTTTTAAAAATTAGGGAAAAAATTGAAAAATATTAAAAAATAAAGTGGAACTGGCCGGTTATGTCAATGAAACCGGCCAAAAAACCAGCCGGTTTCCGATAATTAGGCAGAACCAAACTGGCCCCGACGATTTCTGATATTAACCGTCCCGTTCTGGTCCAGTCCTCTGATTTTTAAAACCTTGGTTTATATCTGTAACTTACTGAATGTAAAATTTATTCAATTCTACAACATAAGTTGAACATTTTTTTAGACTAATTTTTATTGAATTCAAATGGTGGAGGCAAAAGAATTGGAAGAAATGCCTGGATTAGCTAAAGTAGCCCTTTGGGAAGGAGGAGGACACACCGGGGATTTTAAAAATCAAGCGCTTTAAATTTTTATGATGCTTGGACATTGGATATCTCAAAAATCTTTGATTGTACAAAATAAACTATTTCACAACAAAATAAAAATTACGTCATTTATATTTTATTTTATCTTATTACAATATTAGAAGTTAGAATTGAAAACATGTTTAATATCTTTCAATTTTGCATTTTCAATTCTTAGTACAGTTAAATTTCATTCATTACTCAAAAAATTTTCACAAAAAAATAAAAATTATGTCAATTATATTTTATTTTACTATTATTTTTATACTTTCTTTTCTAATTACAATATTAGAACAGAAAACATGTTTAATATCTTTCAATTTTGCATTTTCAATTCTTAATACTCTTAAATTTCATTCATTACTCAATTTGCTATATTTTAAAGAGCTTTTAAAACATAAGGTCGAAATAATTAATACTCCAAAACTTTCATTGTTAAAATAGTTTACAACCAATTTTCAAATATTCTACTAAACTTGTAGTTCATACATACATGCAACACACTTAAATCCAGTAATATAATTTCGAACATATACGGTATTTCTTCTCATGTTAATGAACACTCATGGCCCATGAGGCCTGAAAATTGTGAGAGCTCTTCAACATCAACTCCCTATGCCCCGCCCTAAAACTAGAAGGTTCTTAATCTCTTAATTACAAATTGTAAGAATTTGTAACAAAAATGAATCCGTTAAACACCTCCAATGAATGTGTAACAGTCTCTTAGCAAGTTACTTTTGATAGTGGCAATGCCTAGTCCATGTCCGAGTTTATAAGAGTTTTAAGAAATGCCAAGCCCACTCAAAATCGGTGGTTGGGTTATTCACGCTTATAGACTTTAGAATTGCCTCATTCCACCTGATTTTGTTTTCTATGCTTTTCATCTAATTCCCACAGATCCAGAAGCCGATCCGACCAATCCAGACAGGTACAACTAGAGGCCAATTCAACTGATTTGGCTTTTAACACAGTAGGAAAAACCAACCATGAGTACAACCGCATGTGCATTACATTAGGCATGTGATAGACTACTTACCAAAAGATCCCATAGTGTGCCATCCAATTTTTGGACATTGGAGAACACCTCTGCATATTATTCTATTTAGATATAGTACTGCACAAAATAGCATTATACTTGACTCTGATGTTTTCTATTGTTTGCATGTTCAACTTTGATGTCAATTACAAGGAAAAAGTCTTCCTCAAGTTAGCAGTGTTAGTAAAAAGAAAAAGAGTAAGCCCCTGAAAGATATGCATATTGGGATTTTATCCCAAGTAGAAACTAATGGTCTTCTTTTAAATATTATAAATAGTATTTTTAACAAAAAAAAAAAAAAAAGATTTCCATAAACAATGCATATTGGCATTTTATCAAAAATAGAACTAGATGTACTCCCTGTGACTGGATAGTGGTCCAGTACTCTCTCCCCTAACCTGAAATTCCCCCTTTCCTTAACTAGAAGGTTCATTATTATAAGTTAAATTAAATTTTTTTACCGGCAAACCCAAATTCTCAACTGCTCAACAAGGCTTTTCTTCACCTGCTCCACTGCTCAGAGAAAAGGACGATGGAGAATTTTAGGCCAAGATGTACTAGATTGGGTAATACTATTATTTGATAATCTTGCTAGAAGATCTTGGGTCACATCAGATAAAATTTTTACGATTCAACCAAGCAGAAGAAGTTGGCTTGCCAGAAAAAGATTAAAATCAGGAGCAAGATTATACGTGGATAGCTGTGAAGAAATAGTCCTTTCGAAGAAGACGTAAAGCATTGGAAATACTTTTGGTTTTTGCATAGTTCTACTATTATGTAGCTCTTCCTATTCATTTACTTTTTTTTGAAAAGATTTAAAGTTTTACTATGCCTTAGCTTTTTTGAAGTAATGTAAAGGTGTTACTAGTTATTTACTTTTTATTTGATTTGATATAAAGTAGGATTTGATGTATCTTTTTTTTATTTAATTTTAGTGCAAAGCAAGAATAAAGTTTCCCTCCCAATGTTTATAAATTGTACCCCTTGCATTCTAATGAAGCAAGCACATTGTAAAATCAAAATTGTCTCTTGATTGAGACCTTCTTCTTGATGTATTAACATGAGAGCTCAATTATCCTTAGTCTGCTTTACAAAGAGAGTGAGTCCACTGTGGCGAAGAGTGGCACCAAATTCCCACTATGCTTTTACAAAGCGCGTATGAGAGACTTGAGAAATAAACTGACTAGAAAAATAGATTGCAAGTCTAGGAACGGCCTAGGGCGCTTATACCATAAGAGGAGAGAGAAGATTGCAAGGATATTTTCTTTTGTAGATTCTTTTTTTTTGAATAAAAAGAAACAAAAACAAGCATACCAAAACTAACTCTGAACAATTGCACACAAAAGACTGAACAATTGCACACAAAAGACTGGCTTTATTTTCTGTATTTTTGGATAATAAAGATTAAAAGCAAACCCTCAAAGAGACACAGAGAGAG